CTTTGGACACTGCAATGAGAAATATAATGGAATTTATAAGTATAATTATCTTTTTTACATGCACATCATGCTAGTCATAGGCAAATTAAAACAATGAGCAAGAGAAAATAGACTTGCAGAGAGTTTTTGTTCTATCCTAGTACAAAATCTATTTTAAAAAAAGACTAGGATTTAATCAAGAATCATGGTTGAGTTTTGGCATTAAGATAAGATACATATTTATAAAATGGGATGGTATGGTCTGACTGAAGAGAGCACAATTGCTAACCCAAAAGTCTCAAGTTTGGATCACAGGCTCAATTCTGTAGGCATCCTTGAGTCCACCTAGCTCTGAAAACCTTTTTTTAAGGTGAGTAAAAATGTCATGATGAAAATAAGTTTAGTCTCAATAGGTATTTAATTTTTATTTTACAAACAATGTTTTGGATTATCATAAAAATGATTTTATTTACAATGAAACATGTAAATTCTTACTTACTCTTCTGCTTCCTTATACTCAGGGTATTAAACAAATATACTGCATATTGATAGTTTATGACAACCATGAAGCATTCATTGTTATAATCTGACATGTATTTTTGTAGCACTTAAATAAAAAAAACTAATTAAAGTTCATATTTGTGAAACAATCACAATAAAGCGGGAGAAATCACCCCTAAACTTTCTCGAATATTCTTAGCTAACACAAATGGGGATGGCACCAGGTGACAACATTTAAAGGGGTGACACCAAGGCAAAAATTAGTAAAATATATACAGAAAAATGATACTTCCACTTAATTAAATGATTAATTAGAGTGAGTTAAATAGTCTTTTAAGAGCAAAGTTGACACCATGACATAAACCTGCTTATGATAGAAAAATCAAGCTACATCCAACTGTATTTATAACTGACTATAGATAGACATCATTAGGTGCCACACCGGCTGACACCACACCCAACCTCACTATGCCACCAGGGGATGGCAACTCCAGTGCAGTCGAGATATAGACATTTTTTTAAAAAAATCAATTTTCAAATACTTTCCGGTTACCGGAAATCTATGAAAAGTTGATACAAATTTGATATAATACTTATATATGTATAGCTGTAATGGTACACACAGACATACTGACAAAATTGCATAACTAAGTTTTTCTGACGAAGGGAGGAGTAAAATGTCAAGATTCGTGTAAATCTCAATTGATTTTGATTTTTTGCATGATTATAATACTTTTTCTATAATTTGTATACCAGAAAATAAAAATGAAAACTATGCTTAGTCTTTTTTTTTTCATTTCCTCGTATATATGAAGTATAAAGGAAGTATTGTAATCGTGCAAAAAATAGAAATCAAAGCACAACATAAAAACTGATGCTCCAGATAAAAGGTCATGTTTATTTACTAAAATGGTGTATAACAAGAATGTTGTAAGTGTAAATGCGGGTGTCTTTCTTTTTCTTTGTTATTAATGGTATTTTTATTAGTTGTATTGTTATTAATTGTATTTAATTGATTTCCTCCAACACAATTAAGTGTGTTGTGCACAGTATTTGAGCCTGCTATTTATTCTGAATTTGCTTCCACAGCTTTTGTCCATTCAAGAACAAACTACAACACTGCAGTTGTATTATTTTGGAGTTTTCTCTCCTAGATGTGTTGCTGTCCCCAGCAATCGACCATCATCTTCCCGGGGGTTTGAACTCAGGGCATTTTTGGTTTAGCAACTATGATCTTCAAAGGCCTAACCATGCCAACTCCTAACTAGTCAATATTAGAGTCTTAGTAAAATGTACAACATGAAATAGCGATGCGGTAAAATGCGAGAACTGTGCCAAAATTTTGTCTGCCAATTCCCCCCCCCCCCCCCTTCAATTGTTAGGTATGGTGGGGATAGTATCTGCAAAATTTTTACAATAAACTTTGTTGCAGGTTTTAATTTTTAAACATATCCAAACTTTAAACACTCACTATTTACCCATTATTCCACAGGTGTCTTGCATTTCTTCTAGCATATTACTTACTACCTTGCCACTTTAAATTTTGCATCATACCAAGACCCTCGATATTAGTTAACAGTTTTATTTAACACCCCTTTAATTTAGAATTCTGATTTGAAAAATATATTTGCTTTGCTTAGAAATAGAGATTTACCTGAATAGCTTCAGTCAAAGTATTACTTGATATTGGTGTATTCCAATCAGAATATGTTTCATTTTTTTTCCATGAGATGTTACACGACATCTAGAAAACATAGAACCATTAAATATGTATACAAACAACAACAAAAAAGAACGGATGGGAGCATTAGAACATTATGACCTAAATATGAGAGTCTCGTGCAACATGTGCAGTTAAGTGGAAGTGGGGGAAAGTGCTTGACATTTAGGCCAGAAGATTTTCAGGGTTTAGTCGGGTTGAGGATGAAAATTATGATGCAATTTAGTTAATATATAGATTATAAGAATGGTGTAATTGAATGGTAGAGCTTATGTCTGCTAGCCTGAAAGTAATGAGTTTGGATAGCAGGCTCCTTGAGCCCACCCAGTTCTAATGAGTACCTGACTCAAGCTAGGGAAACAAAGGCAGCTGTGCATAGTGCTGACCACACTGTCCCCTGTTCACCGAGGTCATTGAAATAGATGAACTCCACTTCATTTTCCCCATGGGTCTTTAGCACAAATGGGAAAAGATGATAAATTATTTTGAGTTTATGTATCAGATTTGGACATAGCAATAGATTAATTTTGAATTTTTCAAGCTTAGTTTTCTTAACTTTTATTTTCATGTTGAGATTCTGCTGGTTATTTAGGATTAAGTTTAGGTTCTGGTTTATTTATGAAGATTTCAATAGTTGAATAGTAGGGTGGTGAGGGTACAGGTAGTGGTTGAAGGGGTTCACATTGACATAATGCCAAAGTGATGTCTCAGCAGGGTAACTTATAGTACAGTGTAGCTGTTACATGACATGTGTTGTACAGATTATTAATAAAACAACAACATTTTTTACCTTACGAAATAATAAATTATACGGCAAATCTTCCAGAGTTACAGAAGCAGTCAAACTGGGAAAGTTAGCATAAGTTGTCAGTTTATCCAGCACATTTTGAGGCACATTTTCAATTATCCAAGCATATTTAATTATTGTATCCTTTTCTGTGAATCTATTTAAACTACACGAGAAAATTGAGTGGCCATCGCTTTTCATTTTAACCCTGTACTGATCATAGCCTAGAACATATAAGAAAAAAATATTATGTATTCATTCTCTGTCAATAGTAATTACACAAAATAATATATAAATATATACACACATATTTTGTGGGACAACATAGTCAAACAATAGAGCTTAAGCCCTGAGTTGTAATCCCAAACTCTGTATGATCACCCTGAGTCTTCCCAACTCTGATGGGTACCCAACTCTGGATAGGGAAATGACCACACAATCCCTTTACATGCTTAGGTCACAGAAAAAGATGAGCTTTTTATTTTGAAAAGGTAACATTATATAGGCTACATTTGTGTATATCTTAATATAGAGTCCATTAGAATAATATTGTTCTGATATGTTTTGTATACCACAAAACATTGACTTTAAATTTTTAACAAATTAGCGCTAAACACTATTTTAAAAAATGACTCCATTGTCCTTTAATTTAAACATATATATATATATATATATATATATATATATATATATATATATATATATATATATATATATATATATGACTAAGTATTAAAAATGAAGTTCTTTTAGTACAGTAATAAGTTTATGTTTATATTCTAATATAACTTGCAATCCTGAAATTTTTAATACTTTACTGTGTAGGGTAAAATTTAGCAAAATAATTTATACGCATAAATATTGTGCATATTGTGACTATTTAACTTATTTAGTAAAACTGCCTTAACCCGATGTTGATGCATTATGATTTCTGCCCAGTACTCTGAATTGCAAAATTACAGTCACAAAATAATTTTTAAATAATTTTTTTTTTAAGTTTTTATTTCCTTTGAATAGTTTCAAACTTATGCTTAAAAACGAAATGTATGGTGTAAATAGTAATTCATAATGTGAAAATGAAAATTGTTTCAGGATATGCTCATAGTCATTACTCTTGTGGAGATTTTTAGAGCAAATATTTGTAATAAAGTTCTTTCAGTTAGGAATTATTGCTGCAAATCACGTAATGAAAATTTAAATCTCAGACTTACATGTTCTGTATTTGCATGTGTATGTATATATATATATATATATATATATATATTTATATATATATATATATTTATATATATATATATATATATATATATATATATATATATATATATATATATATATATATATATATATATATATATATATTTATTTATTTATTTATTTATATATATTTATATGTATATACTTACTCTGAATAATGCTAAACTCTTTTATTTACTTTAATTCTTTTACTTATTAATGCTTCAATTTATCCCTAAAACTAATGGAAAATAACTAAACTACATTGAGAATTTTAAAACTGAAGAATTTTTTTTACTAGCGCTTTTTTCCGTCTCTACTTTACTTTTCACTGGTCATTGCCTATTAAGCCATGCTTTCCTGACTTTCACCTGCAACTGTTTAAAAAAACTTACAAAGAAGGTTTGTTTCTGTCTCTCTTTTAGAACGTTGAACAAAAGAGTATGGGGTCGTCCATAAATGATGTCACAATCGTAGGGGGTCCATAATTTTGTGGTGGTGTGTGATGAGGGGAGGGGGGGGTTCAGATGGTGCGACGTCACGCTTTTGCATTATAAAAAAAGCAATGTTGGAAAACGAATTTTAGACATTATTTCGCGTTTTAGAAAACTGTTTCAATAAATTGTAATAGGAATTGATTAAAATACTCTATTTTGACAGAATTCAGACAAGATTTTAGAAAAATATCGATGTTTTAAAAAAAATTCAACTTCAATTTTGAGGGGGTATTGTAGGCAGAGGTGTGACGTCATTTTAGGGGGGGGGGGTCTGGCTTTTTGTGACACACTTGTGACGGAGGGGAGGGGGGGAGGTAAAAATCGTCAAAAAAGCGTGACGTCGTTTATGGATGAACCCTATGCAAGTAATAGTAAATAGCTCAGCTGCACAACCAATTACAACCTTTTCAGGATTTTTCTTTTCAGGAACTTTGAAAACTGCTGACCCAGTTCCTCTTTCTCAAATTCTGCTAGTATTTATAAGAAAAGCACTGCTTGTTCAAAGGTTTGTATATGAAGACAAATATGATTCAAAACTTTTTAGAGGTTGCTACCATATTACATACCTAGACACTGGACTAGAACAAGGGGTGAAAATATTGACAAAAGCTGTCTGGTCACTAATTTCTGCAACATCTAAGAAAAAAAATTCAAATGTTAAAGTACACCATTAAAATACAATAGTTAGTAAAAAAAAAAAAAAGACATAAAATGATTTAGTATAACCTCTACATTTTTTTCTCGCTTTATGTTAACAGATATGATTGCAGTAGAGATGATACTAAACCGTATGTATCTTCAAGATATGATGTACAAAGATAACTGAAAACAAGGTTAAATCAGATGCATTTCCACAATTTGTTGCAGCACATTTTGTTAAAAAATTGTTAAAGATCCAATTTTTACCATCTATGGCAGCCAGTGTTTCTTCCAGACTTTTTTCTCCGGGGAGCACTTGAAATTTTTGGGGGTGGCGGTAAACTTTCTTCGGGGGGGGCGGACACTGTTAAAAGTATATATTTTCTATATAAAAAATATAAATTTCATTTCGTCCGGGGGGGGGGGGGGGGGGGGGGCGGTAAAAATTTTTCGGGGGGGCTTTGCCCCTCCGAAGAGATGCCTGGAAGAAACTCTGATGGCAGCATTTAGACTTCATTTGGTAATGGGAAAAGCAAGATGGCAGTTGATGAAATGTTGGGCCAGAGTTTTAAATACAACAAAATTATTTTACAACAAACTGAAAATAGGTAGCTGAACCAACTTAAATACAGGATCCAAATAGTGTGTCACATTACAGATCTAAACTTGTCTATGGATTTGTTGCTTCATACAGCAAGAAGTTTGTTGGCTACCAATATTTGCCTGGGTGGATCATTTTATGCACTCCTCAAAGCATAGGTTCCCAGAAAAATTTAAATGACCACACATAAATCCACGCAAAATAAAAAAGGGGCATGAGAATACTCTCATGTGGGTTTCGGGGTCATCCATAAATGACATCATGACTGTCACTTATCATACAAAATAACCAGACCCCCCACATTCAAAAAGACGTTTTTGTCTTTTAAAACACTGATTTCGGCTGAGCATGGGTCTGACCACACTGCTATCCCTTTATATGCTGATGTCACAGGTGAATTCTACAACTACCCAACTCTACTTCACCTGCCCAGTGTCGTTTAAAAAAAGATTCACTAGAGAAGGCAGGGCAAGGGGTGCGAATCGCACCGGGCGACACCATTTAGGGGGATGACACCAATGCAAAAAATTGCAAAATGTATCGGAGAAAATGCTCTTTTACCATAACCATTAATGATTAATTAAATAGACTTTTAAGTACAAATCGACAATTATAACAAGAGGATGGGGGTGAAACTACGACGTTAACGTGCTAACGATAGAGAAAACAATGCTAGACCCAACTGTATTATTAACAGGATATATATAAACATCGTTACTATATATATATAAACATCGTTATTATATATATATATATATATATATATATATATATATATATATATATATATATATATTGATATATATATATATATATATATATATATATATATATATATATATATATCCTGGAAGAAACTCTGGGTGACACCGTGAAGTGCCGCACCGGGTGACACCCGACCTAGCAACGCCACTGCACTAATGACTAAACTAAACTTAACAAAATAATTTTTTAGCAAAATATATTAATATAAATTATTATAAATATATAACACAATAAAACTGTCACTGCTCTCTTAATCTACACGACAATCCCCAGTCACAACAAATGTTTTTGTTATTGAAAGTTATTATTGCCAGTCGTATTTAGCATGAAATGGTAGTCGGCTGAGAATAGCCCCAGGCAATAAGGCTAATCCCTGGGAATAGCCTTGACCATACTTAATGCCCCAACAGCCAGGCTTCCTATGCTCCTAAATGCTGATTCTAGTTGTATGGCTATGAATAAATGCTAAATTAATTAATAAAACCATGATCTATAAATTATAGACCTAGATCTATAATAGATTGATCTAGATCTAGATTAGATTTAGAATATTAATATATTAGATTCTAGATCTATCTAGACTCTAGATCTAATCTAGATCTCAGATCTAGACTTCTAGACTAGATCTAGATTCTAGTTTAGACTGTTTAGAGAGTATGATCATTGTATAATCTAATAATTATAATAATATTGGTTGTGGGGAAATTGCGAGACGCGAAAAGCGAAATGGCGAGCGGGAAAATGCGAGAAGGTAATGCGAGACATAATAATATTATTATTAGACCTAGATCTACATTTAATTACTAAATTAGAGATCTGACTATATTATTATATCTCTAACTCTAGGCTAATTAAACTAGATTCTAGATCGAGAAATCTAGATCTAGATCTACTCTCTCTCTAGAATACTCTAGATTACTAGACTAGTCACTAGTCTAGACCAGGGGTCTCCAAACTTTTCAGCCCGAGGGTCGCTTGAACTATCAAAAATTAGTTCGGGGTCCAGAGCCAGAGTTTTCTTCAATAAATCTTTTCGGGGTGTTTTGAATTTTCTGGGCAAAGTTTCTCAGCCAAACATTTTTTCCGTGGACACAAAGACCTTCGCGGGCCGGATGAGAGGACCTCGAGGGCCGCATCAATCATGCCCGCGGGCCGTAGTTTGGAGACCCCTGGTCTAGACGATTTCAGAATAGATCTAGAATCTCAATTCTAGATCTAAATACTATTGTCTTAGTTTTAGCTTGGCTTAGAGCTAGATCTAGATATCTAGCTACTAGAGGGGCTTAAATCTAGATCTATCTAAATCTATCTATAATTTATATGTATATTATTTAATGATTAATCTAATCTAGAGTCTAAAATCTAGGTTCTATCTAGAGTCTAGAATCTAGATCTAGAATATCTACTATCTAGATCTAGCTAGCGCTAGATTTTCTAGATATTCTAGATCTAGTCTAGATAGAATCTAGAAATCTAGATCTAGAGTCTAGCTATTATCTAGCTATATCTACTCTACATATAGAATCTAGATTATTCAAGATCTGAACTCTATACTATAATTATAATTATATCTAGATCTAGTCGATCTATTTAATAAATATTAGCCTATCTAGATCTAGAGTCTAGATCTAGTATTTAGACACTAGACCTATTTGTAAAAATTATCTAGAATCTAGATCTAGAATCTAGATCTCTAGATCTAGATCTCTAGATCAAGAAATCTAGATCATCTAGTAACTAATAATTTTTACGAATAGGCCTTACTATTATATTATACTTTATAGTATAGTAATATAATCTAGATCTAGTAAGTTTATAGTTTATAGTAACTTACTAGATCTAGATTTAGATAAATAAATCTAGATCTAGAATCTAGATCTAGATCTAGTAAAAATAATTTATTAGAGTGGGCCAAATAGTTATTAATTTTTTAATTACTTTATAACTTTATTACTTAGATTAGTAGATCTAGTTATACTTAGATCTAGATAATAGATATATCTAGATCTAGTCTAGATCTAGGATCTAGATCTTGTAATAGTTGTAGTTACATTACATGATTACAGTACAGTAGCCTAAGTCTCCTCCTAAATGTAGAAGACATCTAGATCTAGATCTAAATCTAGATCTAGATTACAGATTAGATCTAGAATCTAGATCTAGATATCTAATTATCTAGATTTCTAATTCTAGTGGAGGAAATCTAGATTCTTGATTTCTATAGTATATAATATCTATTTCTATATCAACCCCCCCCCCCCCCCTTCCGGGTGTGGGGAAATTGCGAAATGGCGAGAAGGGCGCGAAAACTGTCGGTCACGTGACTTTTTGTCTCGCATTTAACCACAACCCGATACTTACGCTGGTGGTGTTGAAATGCGATGATTTCTGCGAAAATTACTGCACCCGATTTTCAGTGGTATTTGGTATTGGTTTCGTTTACATTGTTAAAACTTCCGATTTTTCCGTCGCTAGACATACTGATGATTTGTGAACTCCCCCCATCTTTTGTGTTGACTTAGAATACCACCTTGTTCGAAACCGCCCGAAATACCGCCGACGATAGATCAACTTCTTTCTTTTGTGTGGAACGCCGAGACCGCCTGATTTACCGTCTTTGAAGATCACCGTGCCCCAATCCTCTGCCGCCGCAAACATATTTTGTATTATTGCATAGAAATTTTGTATTATAGCCGGCGCCAGTGTTGTGTGTGGGATGAACGGGGAGGTCAACTGACATGTTGTGAATGCGGATTGGAAGAAGTAGCCAAAGAACAATGTAGAAATGGGAGTCTAATGAACTGGGTTAGATGTACTATGTGTGAAAGACGGTGTCACGAGGTGTGTTTGAGTAGTGCTAGGACTGTTTCAGAAGATTTTGTTTGTAAATTTTGTTTGTAATTAAAATTACTTAATAAAAAATAAATTACACTTTTTAGAACTGTTTATACTTTTACACTTTTTGCAAGTACAACAATCCATGAATACATGTTATATCTCTCCTGCTGACATTGACAAGATTATACCACTTGATAATGACACATCTCACGTTTGTATAAACATGAGCGGGCTAGATGTTTAAAATTAATGCCGACTGAGACGGGATTTTCCTCTCGCTAACGATGTTAGGATTTTTAAATAGATAGATCTATATATAGATCTATCTTCTTAGTATCTATCTGTCTATATAATAAAATCTAGATAAAAAATAACAACATACAACACTCGTGTTAAAGGGTATGGCTAAATGCTTGTTTATTTTTAAAAAAAAAATAATTTAAATTAATAAAGATGAAAAAAGCATGAAAAAAACTTTTTTTTTCGCAAAAAGTGTCTCGCTATTTACCCTTAATTCCGCAGGTTTGTCTCGCATTATCTTCTCGCATTTTCCCGCCTCGCCATTTCGCATCTCGCAATCTCCCAACACCCCCCCCCCCCCCCCCCTTGATCTAGACTAGATCTAGATCATATCACTTTATCTAGAATTTAGATCTAGATTTAGATCTAGAATCTAGATCTATATTTATTTGACTAGATTCTAATCCCATCTATATCAAAGGTTGATTCAAACATCTGTGTTTAAAAAACTTTTGACAGGCTTGCCATGCCAGATAGATTTCTAGATCTAGATCTATGAATTTACATTTCCTCCCACTTCAGCTTGTTTAAAAATTTGTATCTGATTTTTTTTAGCATCTTAGCGCCTTGAGTTTGCAAGTTAGTATGAGCTGCTGACCAGAGGCGTAGCGACCCTTCCCGGCGCCCGGGGCGAACTTTCAATTTGGCGCCCCCCCCCCCCCGCTTATATATATATATATATATATATATATATATATATATATATATATATATATATATATATATATATATGTATGTGTGTGTGTGTGTGTGTATAATTATGTGTGTGTGATAGTGTGTTTATATATAAGCTTGTGTGTGGGTAAGAGTGTATTTGTGTGTGTAAGCGTGTGTGTAAGCGTGTATGCTGCAGTCCGGACAAGGTTTAATAATTACATTGTATGATTTTCATTCCTTAAAACTTTACGACAATTTAATTCCCATTAAGATGCGTTTAACTTTTTTTGCGAAAGATTAGTAATGTCAGTAAAAAAAATAAGCCTGATCTGTGTTAGAGGGTAGTTTGTAGCTAACGCTAATATGTTTAGACCAGCCTTTTATGTTCTAGTTTTGAACGATCTCTGTTGTGATATGGTACATAGTTGGATTCGAAGTTTGTTAGAGTAAGGACACACAAGTGACATACAAGAAGAAGTTATCAGAAATATTTATTGTTCACATTGGAATACGACATGGGTATTTCGTTGATTGGTTGATGGTATGACAAAATAAGCTAGAGAAAACAAACTGGAATCCAACGGATGTTAACAGCTCGTAGTCTTGGATTTCGCAGATTTGCCCTGCCTTCTCGCACACAGTTTCTTCCAGGTATTTTTTCGGGGGGCTAAGCCCCCCGGAAAAATTTTTACGCCCCCCCCCGAACCAAATGAAATTTATATAATTTATATATAGAAAATATATACTTTTAACAGTGTCCGCCCCCCCCCCCCCGAAGAAAGTTTACCGCCTCCCCCCTCCCCCCGAAGATTTCAAGTGCCCCCCTGGAGAAAAAAGTCTGGAAGAAACACTGATCAAAAGTATCTGATCTCTCACGTTGAAGTTGAGAGAATCGTAAGAATCTTACAAAGAACTAGTCGCGTCTTTTTTTTTTAACAAAACTGGCTATTGAAATTGTACATTACGCGTTAATACACTTGGTTTCTTTACTAAGTGTTAAGAGAGTTATCTCCTCACCAATCCAGTACAAATACTTGCGATTTTTGTTAGCGAAAAAAGCGCCCCCCCCCCACCCCCACACACACTCATCACAACCATCTTGGACAAAGTTTGTAGAGCGGTTTTTAACGTAACTAACTTTTTAAAAAAAAAAATGTTACACAATTATACAATGCACAGTACAATTCGTTTCTTTCTGAGAGCTAAAGGTTGTTTACTCAGAATCCTGTGTAATTTTGCTATTTTATTTAGCCTAAAAGCGCCCCCCTGCACCATCTTGATAAAAGTCACTAACGTATTTTACAGTTCAACAATCGTACAATACGTTTTAATACAATTGGTTTCTTTTAATAGTGGTAACGTTTATCGACTCAACAATCTAGTGTAAATTCTTCCGTTTTAAGTCTCGAAAAAGCGCCCCCCCCCCCCCCCCCCATCTAGGAAAAGCTTCAAAGCGGTTTTGCCGGTCACTGTTTCTTAAGAGTATATGTTTTACATTAAGAAATCAAGATAGAAAACAGTTAAATCAGTATGTAAATGCGTGTAGCCATTACGTTTCTTAACTTAGACAGTTTATAATTCAAAACTGCAGCATAAAATCAGCTTTAAAAAAATTTTCCCACCCCTTTTGGCGCCCCCATAGGGTCGGCGCCCGGGGCGGCCGCCCCCCCCCGCCCCCCCCTAGCTACGCCTCTGCTGCTGACCTGTTGTCCATGATTTCTAATTCTTGTTTATTGTGACATAATCTGCAAGTAATGTTCCCTTCGTACCCTTCATTGGCTATTCCACATATTGCATGGACATCGTTGCCACAGGATCCTCCACAGGGCTGCACTACAATCTTTTTCACAAATTACACATAATCTATTGGCCATATTATTACCACCCAACTGGTCTGGCCGTTCCGCCACGGTAGCAGAGGTAGGATGTCGTTGCATTTATTATGGTAACTTCCATGTCTTGTTCAATGTTCTCAAGATCTTCCCCAGTAACTAAATTATCGAGAGCCTCTCTTGGTAGATTTGAAGTGTTAAGTCACACGTTTGCTTTGCATCCAAACAAGGCTTCGTATGGCGATTGTTGGATTCTTTGATGAAAAGAACGTTTTTTTTTATAAATGAAACAAATTTGAGACTCTCAGTCTCAGCCCAATAAGCTGATTCATGTGTCTGCATCCATTTCATCATCATGTTTTTAACATCTTGGTTGGCACGTTCTACTGAACCTTGGTTTTGGCTCTGCCTTGGTTTTCCGTGAACTAGATTAGTTTAAGTTCAGGCCACATGCTCTTTAGTTCAGAAATATTTTGGCAGCCATCTGGTAGGCTATGTATGTCTCTTGGTCTGATGGCCATTTTGGTCCGATCACAACTTGAACTTGAACTTAGTGTAGATCTAGATCTAGATTAGATGGCCATGACATCCCTAGTTACACCTCTAAATCGACCTAAAAATGTCTTACCTTGTAGCTTATGCTTCTTTGCTCACCACTCGAGGGTCCCTTCAATGTATTTGTCTTAGACGTCTATTGACTCGTTCAGGTGTTAGCGTGATTACTTTGAACTTTGAACTGTTAGTCTAGCCTGGCATGATGCATACGCGTAAGCTGTTAGCGTCAGCTGACACATGTCATGTGATGACGTGATGTCTGCTAGCCTATGAAACGGCGTGTGAACCCTAGGCCTAAGTCTAGATCTAGTGGCTGCTGTTTATTACTTTCTCGTAGAATTATATACGAAGTATAGATCTAGAGAAAGTCTTGTAATCGTGCAAACAAAAAATCGAGATTTTTACAAATCTCGACGTTTTACACCTCACTGATACTTAAAAACATAATTTTGCAATCTTGTCCGTATGTCTGTGTGTGTGTAAACACGATAACTTGAGTACCGTTACAGCTAGGTTGATGAAATTTCATATATAAGTATTTTATCAAAATCGTAGATCCGTATCAACTTGAGCGATTTCTGAAAGTGGTACTTTTTCTACTTTGAATTTTTCAAAAGACTATAACTTGAGTACTATTTCAGATAGATAAATGAAATTTCACATGTAAGTAAAAGATCTAATTCTCTACCTTCTATCAAATTTTGAGTAATTTCCGTTTACCGAAAGTACTAATTTACGCTATTTCCGATTTCTCAAAAAAAAAAAACGCATGTAAATTTATAAAGTACTAATAATATTTTTTCTACCAGATTTTTTTCTATTTTTTTTAAAGTTTAAGTAAACAAAAATCATGTCTATATTCCGAGTTGCCATCACACGTAGTGTTATATTAGAATATTCGAGAAAGTTTAGGGGAGATCACTCCCGGTTTATTTTTTAAGTGCACTAACCAACTAGCCTGATCCGCTTCTATTAATTAGTTTTATTTCCTTAATGAAAAAATATAGACCGGCACAGGTATTAATGGTTTTTTCCATCACGATCATTCCTATAGAGTCCTTGCAAACACGTGACCTAAATCGCGTGATACCTACGTCCGCCGCCGCGGTGGTGTACACCAGACGTAAGCACAATCAGCTGTTCACCAACGCTGGACGCGTTCACTGTATGTAAAGAACCGCACCGGCGGAAAAAGAAAAATACGTTAAAAAAACTTGAACTCTTAGGAATTGAAGATCCTTATACTGTTATTGACAGTTTCGTGGATAATATAAATATGTGGCCGAAATTTCTAACTAAATATACTGTTAGTAATACTGTTTGCGCTTAGAGTTTAAGTTGACGAATCTGATCAAATGCAGTAATATATTATAGGTTATCTAGATCAGGTTAATGTAGATTCTAGATTCTCTCTCAAGTACAAGATTTAGTAGCAATAGATCTAGTACAACCACACTACTGTAGCAAACGTGAGACCACTTAACTCCTACAAAACCCACACTACAACGGCTAATATAATTCATGGGTAATAACCACTGCTGTTTTAGATCTCAGCCAGAGTTTCTTCCAGGCATCTCTTCGGCGGGGCGAACTTAGAGACAATTAAATGCTTTATTAGGCCTATTATGACTACTTTTGATTTATTATGGCTGTATTTTGAATCGAATGTAGATCTAAATTTTCTAATTAAATTTAAGTAAATAAGTAGATTCTAGATTCTATGCCTACCCAGCGGAACCAGTCAACCTAAATCCAGAATCTAGATCTGTGGTCCGAATTTTGTTTACGCTATGTTTAGAGCTAGATCTAGATTCTAGATCTAGACGTTAAAACATTAGATATTTGCCTCTGCTTCACTCACACCGCTGCGATAAATATTGGCTAAAAATTGACGGCGTCTACGTTCTGTTAACTGTCGATCTCTATCATCTTGGTTTAATATAACCCTTGGCAGTCGAAATAATTTAGTCATTGGAGGGGGACTCTTTCATCACAAAATGATACATAAAGTTACTTGGGTATCACCCGACCTATCTACAAAAAACCAGATAGACCATATATGTATCATAAAAAAGTTCAGGAGATCACTTCAAGATGTACACGTCAAGAGAGGATCTGATGTTGCTTCAGACCATCACTTACTGGTAGCTAAAGTAAAACTCAAAATGAAGAAAAACATGTTGGAAAACAAAAGGAAATACAGATACAACACAGGCCTGCTAAAGGACCCCTCTAAACTCAATGAATTTAAACTTCATATGTCCAATAGGTTTCAGGTACTACAAGAACTAATAGAAGAAGAGACGATAGAGGAAACATGGAAAAAATTTAAAAGCATATTAACATATAGTTATTTAAATAGTAGTGAATTATTTATTTTCTAATTTCTAGTGCATTATTACATAAAGCTAGTTATTAAAACGTTTTTTTATGAAAAAAAATATCTCAGTTCTTTAAATTTTTAAAATTTGTAATAGAGTTGTACGACTAAAAACCATGCGCACCTAATGAACGTGATGACGCGTGTCTAATAGTACCTACTAATTTGGACACAATTTTAATTAATTCATAAAATAAACCGGGAGTGATCTCCCCTAAACTTTCTCGAATATTCTTATATAACTTGGAATATAGATCTGATTTTTAATTACTTAAACGTTTAAAAATAGAATAGAATCTCAAAGAAAAAGAATTGCGCACCAAGCGAACGCCAAAACAAAATGTGCATAATAGTGCGAAATATTATTAGTACTTTATAAATTTACATGCGTGTTTTGAGAAATCGAAAATAGCGTAAATTAGTACTTCCGGTCAACGGAAATTACCCAAAATTTGATAGAAGGTAGAGAATTAGATCTTTTACTTACATGTGAAATTTCATTTCTCTATCCTTAGTAGTACTTAAGCTATAGGCTGTAACGGTACTCAAGTAATCGTGTTTACACACAGACACACACACAGACAGACAGACACACAGACATACGGACAAGATTGCAAAATTATGTTTTTCCGTATCAGTGAGGTGTAAAACGTCGAGATTTGTAAAAATCTCGATTTTTTTTTGCACGATTACAAGACTTTCTCTGTACTTCGTTTATACGAGAAAGTAAAAATAATCGGCAACCAATTAAGTCAAATTTAATGTCATGTTGCTTTGCATTCATGTCTTGACCCACGTACCGCGTTGAAATAACAAAAACAAACACAAACACAAACACAATCACCAACACAAAGAAAACACAAACGCAAAGAAAATAAACCGGGAGTGATTTCTCCAAAACTTTCTCGAATATTCTTATATAAAATAACAGGGGATTTTTAATCCATTTTAAATACTTAAAGTTTTTAAAATAGAATAAAATCTCGTAGACAAAAGAATTGCACACCAAGTGAACGCCAAATACACAAGTGCATAATAGTGCGAAATATTTATTAGTACTTTAAAAATTTACATTAGTTTTTTTAGAGAAATCGGAAGTAGCGTAAATTACTACTTCTGGTCAACGGAAATTACTCAAAATTTAACAGAAGGTAGAGAATTAGATCCTTTACTTACATGTGAAATTTCATTTATCTATCTGAAATAGTACTTAAGTTACAGGCTTTTGAAAAATTCAAAGTAGGAAAAGTACCACTTCCGGTTATCGAAAATCGCTCAAAAGTTAATACGGATCTACGATTTTGATAAAATACATATATATGAAATTTCATCAACCTAGTTGTAACGGTACTCAAGTTATCGTGTTTACACACACACGCAGACTGACAGACAGACATACGGACAAGATTGCAAAATTATATTTTTCCGTATCAGTGAGGTGTAAAACGTCGAGATTTGTAAAAATCTCGATTTTTTTTGCACGATTACAAGACTTTCTCTATACTTCGTATATACGAGAAAGTAAAAAGTAAATTCTTTCTTCCCCCAATTTAATGATTTTTTTAAAGGGAAGTAACTGTAAAAATCTCGATTTTTTTTTTTTGCACGATTACAAGACTTTCTCTATACTTTGCATAAACGAGAAAGTAAAAACGAGATTTTTGCAAACCTCGACGTTTTACACCTCCCTGAGACGGAAAAAAATAGTTTTGCAATCTTGTCCGTCTGTGTGTGTGTGTGTATGTGTGTGTGTAAACACGATAACTTGAGCACTCTTACAGCTAGGTTGATGCAATTTCATATATAAGTATTATATCGAAATCGTAGTTCCGTATTAACTTTTGAGCGATTTCCGATAACCGAAAGTGGAACTTTTTCTACTTTGAATTTTTCAAAAGCATATATATATATATATATATATATATATATATATATATATATATATATATATATATATATATATATATATATATATATGTAACTAGTGTAGTTACTAAAGACGATTGATAAGAACGCAATACAGTCTGTCAACTAAAGACATGACCAAGGCCAAACTGAACTGATGCAACGGATGCAGGTGGTGTGACAGAAATAGAAACAAAAGTCTAATAAAGACTAGTACAAGACAACTGCGTAGTAGTTGGGAGGCGAGATAATCAGACTGAACATAGCTATGATGCAACGGATAGAAACGATTACGATTACGAATACGAGGGGATATAATAGGAAGGCGACTGGTAGTAAGCAGCAGAGCAGAAGCTGAAGACTGAACTGTGGAGACGTGTTGTGATTTGTGAGAATAGGTTTGGAAGCCCGAACCATGGACTCGTGTATTCTGATGTGTGAGAACTAGTGAGGACAGTGGGGGTCAGTTGGTTCATTGTATTCTTGTGGAACATTGATGCATTGCTATGTGGAGCATTTCTATTGATTCATTTAATAAAGAGATAAATGTAAACCTGCACTTCCGAGTATCTATATTGTGGTTGATGTTGTGTGCTGGTCAAAGATAGCACAAGTAAATAGACTCGGTAACATTTGGCACTGCGAGTAAATACACTCGGTAACATATATATATATATATATATATATATATATATATATATATATATATATATATATATATATATATATATATATATATATATATATAATATAAGCGGGCAAGTAGTGTGTCAGTCCTTCCTTCCTTCCGTCATCGCTATAGATTTTGGAACAATAAAAGTAAACATTCGCACCACGCAGTGTTTTTCAGTGCACCTCAGTGTCTTATTATAAGTATTAGAGTAGGGTTTGTTTATATAGTGGCATAGAGCTATTTTATAATTTCCACTGTTTGTACAATTTTGCATAACGTAAAGAGAATATTAAATACACGCACATTGCTAAAACATATTAAAAGGATCAATGTCAAATATAGTTTTCGTTAATATTCCTTGAAAAAGTGGATACATTTTAATAACATAATAACAGTACGGTAGAAAAATCAAATTAAACTGTTTAGTAATAATGCCAAGGGAGGTATTTTAAAAATAAATTGAACTCAATCTAAAAATGTGAATGCAGAATCTGCAAGACGGAATAATTGTTGGAATAATATAATTAGCAAAATGTGAATGCAAATTATGCAGACGTGTAAGAGTACATTATTGTTGGAATATTATAATTAGAATTGGTTGATAAAAGGCTATCTTTTATTTATTTTATCCACTGTATGTAATGTTTACTACTTATAATTTTTAATCAACTATTAAGCACTATTATAGATGCGTCATCACGTTCATTGGGTGCGCATGGGTTTTAGTTATGAAACTCTATTGTAAATTTTTAAAATTTAAAGTACTGGTGGAAAAAATGCGTGAATTGATAAAGTGATATAATATGGTAGGTAAAACACGGATATTTTAAATACTGCTGGGGGTTTTATAGGAGAGGCGTAGAGAGGGGGGGACATATGTCCCCGGTTGCCGACCTAAGGGGGCGCCAAAGTGGGTTGGAAAAAATTTGCGGAGAGGGGGGGGGGGGTGGTGGAAATTGAAATTTTGAGGAGAGGGGGTGCAAATCGTAAGTTTGAGGGGGGGGGGGGGAGTCAAATCGAAAGTTATTCCCCGGGCGCCGGAAAGGTTCGCTACGCCTCTGCTTTATAGTCATTCACTGTGTCAGACGCGTCCGGCGGCGCTCGGAAAGGGCGCGATTTGGCGCTACGGGCTAGACTGTGAGCAATATGCCTTTTTTATTGCATTTGAATTGTGTTTATGTTATGAGTGTTATGTTTGTTTTTTCGTTTGTTTTTTTCCGTTCGTTTGTGTTGTGTTTAGTTTTGTTCTGTTCACAAGTTGGTACATTTAAAAAGGATTTTCCGTGGCGGAGCACGGGATGCAGCTAGTATCTATAATATAATCGGGCTGAGCGTGTCCTTCCTTCCGTCCGTCATCGCTATAGATTTTGGGACTATAAAAGTAAACAACGCACCATGCTGTGCTTTTCAGTGCACCGCAGTGTCTTATTATAAGTAGTAGAGTAGGGTTTGTTTATATAACGGCATAGAGCTATTTTATAATTGCCACGGTTTTTACTCTTTCGCATAACGTCAAGAAAATATTAAATACACGCAAACTGCTAAAACGTATTAAAAAGATTAATGTCAAATATCATTTTCGTTTAGGTTCCCAGAAAAAGTGGATACATTTAAATAAGATAATAACAGTACGGTAGAAAAATCAAATTAATTTAACTCTTTTCTAATTTTGACAAAGGAGGTAATTTAAAAATACATTAAACTCACGCTAATAAAAAATGTGAATGCAAATATACGTTCGTCATAGAAGGAATTAGTGTTGCAATAATATAATTAGCAAAATGTGAATGCAAATTATTCGGATGTGTAAGAGGAAATTATTGTTAGAAAATTATAATTAGCATGGATTGATAAAAGGCAATCTTTTATTTATTTTATTCACTGAATGTAGGCCCTACTGTTTATTACTTATAATTTTTAATCAACTATTCAGCACTATTAAAGACGCGTCATCACGTTCATTAGGTGCG